GAGATAATATGACCATCATCAATTCCATCCAACACTTGACAAGATTTCTTAATTTATAATTGATTTAATACCAACATTAGTAGTTTAGGAAAAAATCCCAAAAGCTCTAACTACTATACGCTCAAAACATATTTACATGAAAATGCTATAGTTATAATGTCCATGGCATTATAAGTTTACAACATGATGAGTCTAAAAATAAGCTTGTTCTGCCACCCTCAAGTTATCCTATTTATGAACTGCATGTTCTATGTTAGGGCATGTAGTGACAAGATAAACTAGACTACTAACCAATTGTCAATGATGAGTAGGATTAGAAAGTAGAGAAGTCATTTATAGGTGTAAGGTTAACATTAGGTTCAACGGGTGTAGAAACACTCTTGCTATTATTGAGTTCAACTTTAGAAACAAGATCAGAGGCATTCTTTACTTGGGAAATAAGGTAGCCATCATTTGAAGAAATGACTTCAAGCTCTAGAAAATAGCTCAAACAACGAAGATGTCTTTCATTTTAAATTTCTGACTGAGAGACCATTTTAACTCAACAATACTTGTGATATCATCTCTAATAATAATCATGTGATCAACACAAAGAAGTAAAAGAACCATACCCTGAGCAATCTTACAAATGACCAAAGCTATATCATATAAACTAGAAGTAAAACCAAACTCACTCATAATAACACTAAACTTTGCATATCATGCTAAAAGGAATTGCTTCAAACTGTATAGTGCACGTCTCAATTAGCATACCTTGTTTGAAGGATGATCGAGTCTAGGAAGTGATTTCATATATACTTTTTCTTCTAGGTCACTATTAAGAAAAACATTTTTCAAATCCTTTTGAAACAATTTCCATTTTTGTAAAGCAACAATAGCAAGTAAACAACATATAGAAGTAAGACAAGCAACTAGAGCAAATGTTTCCTCATAGTTTATTCCATACTCTTGTGTAAAACTCTTGGCAACCAAGCATGCCTTATAATGCTCCACAAAACTATCAAATCACGATTTGATCTTGTAAACCTACTTACAACACATCAAAGACTTTTCAATAAGGAGATCAACTAAATCCTATGTATGAGTGTTCTCAAGAGCTTGTAATTCATCCTACATTGCTTGTTGCAAAATAAGGGTTAAAGGAGGCCTCTCGATAACATTGTTTCATGGACTCCATTTTTCTACTAACTCTTCACTTGTGTTTCGTGCCTGCTGTGATGTCGATTAAGTTGTCAATCTTTTTGATCGTAGATCTACCACTAGTCACTATCTTCTTCTTGGTAATTCTCTTATCTCTTAGTGTAGTAAGAAACAAACTATTCCATCTTGCTTTAGTACTAAAGTTGAGTATAGAGCTCTCGATGATACCACATGAGAACTTTTTTCATTATGCTGGCTTCTTGAAGATACAAGTATCCCTTAGCCTTCTTCTACTGATTTATATTGTGATAATCAAAGTGTTATATAGATTGCTCACAATGATGTATTCCATGAATGCACAAAACATATTGAGATCGATTGTCACTTCATCTATCATCATGTTGCAAAGGGAAATGTCCATTTAATTTTCATTAGTTCTGCTAATCAACTTGCAGATTTATTCATTAAGTCTCACTTCCCTAGATGTTTCCAAACTCAAGTTCATTTCGTCACTACTATCTTAAGTTTATAGGGGATGTTAGAATATTAACATTCACATTATATTAGTATGTTCACATTATACTTGATTATATACATTTAAACTAATTAGTTTTGTACCTAGAAATATTATATTGTATAGATCTATTTATAAGTCTTTTGCAATAAATTTTTCTTCAAATATCTCTATCTCTATGTGTGTGTGTGTCTCTCTCTCTCTCTATGTGCGTGCGTGCGTGCGTGTGCAAGCACTTGTCGAGCCCATCTAGTCCACTCTGCCTCTACCACCCCCTAGCCCTCACAAGCTAAAAAAAGAAAAACACAAAGATCACGAACAACCACCGAATAAAGAGCTCCCATAGCCAAATTACCATGGTAGAGAGAAAAAAAAATTATTGTCTTTTATTTATTATATTGTATAGATCTATATATGTCTTTTGCAATAAATTTTCTTCAAATTTCTCTCTCTGCATGTCTCTCTCTCTTTCTCTGTGTACGTGTACATATGCATATGCATGCGTGCGCGCTTGTCGAGCCCATCTAGTCCACTCTGCCTCTGCCATCCCCTAGCCCTCACAAGCTAAAAAAAGAAAAACACAAAGATCACGAACAACCGCCGAATAAAGAGCTCCCATAGCCAAATTACCATGGTAGAGAGAAAAAAATTTATGGTCTTTTGTATAGCTAATGATTTAATTGTTGTAATGTTTTTTTTTTTTTTTGACAACTTGATAATTAATCTTTTTTAACAACATAATGTAGTAATGCGATTGTGATTCACTGTTTTACCTTAATGTAAATCAGTATGTATCTATTCTTTAAATTTCATGAAACTACAAAAATTGTCAATCAATTATAGTTGTTGGTTTGACTTATTTAAATGACTCATTTATTAGAAGCAATGGTTATAGTCACGTTTAAAAGTGTTAAAACCATATAAATTTTTGTATTCTAATTTAAAATATTGATTTAGTTTAGTTTGACCATTAAAAATAATTAATAATTAATTGTAACCATTAGTTAATATATAACAGAATTACAGATATTTATTACACAATAAATTAAAATTAGTACATGAAAACTAATACTTTCAAATACTATAAGAAAATAATCAATATATGATTAGTTTAACACATTTTTTTATACTCGTCCTATTTTAACTATTAAAATATAATATAAATATAATTAATTCATCTAATTTTTATATTTTTAAATTTATTTATTTTTAATTTTATATTAAAAAAATAATTTTTAATAAATATATTATATATTATTTTAAATTAAAATGTATATCAATCACCATAGTGATCACCAGTGGAAAGACAGAAAACAATGTCAAAAGGAAAAGACACCACAAAGAGCACGAACAACCAACCGTAGGATAAAGATCTCCCATAAAGACCTTCCATAGCCAAATTACCCTAGCAGGGAGGAAAAAAAAAAAGGTTATTGTCTTTTATATCACTTATGATTTAATTGGTATAATATTTTCTGACAACTTAATAATTAATATTTGTTAATAACATAATGTGATAATGTGATTGTAATTAACCTTTTTTACCTTGATGTAAATGAGTATGTATCCACCAACGAGGAGTTGGATCAAGTGGCAAGCGACTTGTTCCAGCTTAAGTAAGGTCTTGAGTTTGAAACCTTATGTATGCAGCAGTCTTCGTTGGGAGACCCACCCACCATTCTGGTGCGCCACAGCTGGTCGAGTCCGAAATAGTCAGGGCGAAACTCCGGATACTAAGAAAAAAAAAAAAAGTATGTATCCATTCCTTAAATTTCATGAAACTAGAAAAATTGTCAATCAATTATAGTTGTTGGTCTGACTAAATTAAATGACTCACTTATTGCAAGGAATGGTTATGGCCACGTTTAGAAGTGTTAAGGACACATAATTTTTTGTATGTTATATCTAAAATACTAATTGAATTTAACTTAACTATTAAAAATAATTGATAATTATAATTATTAATAGATATATAACAAAACTACTGATATTTATTACATAATAAATTGAAATTAGTCTATAAAAAATACTTTCAAATAATATAAAAAAATGATTGGTATACACTCGATTCAATATACTTTTTAATATTTATCCTAGCTTAACTATTAAAATATAATATGAGTATAACCAATTTAATTGAGTCCTACATCTTATATACATAACTAAATTTTTAAATTTGTCTACATTTAATTTCAAATAAAAAAATAATAACTTTATAATGAATATATTATGAAGTATATATTAATCAACGTTTAATACTATAACTAATTGTTTATGAAAAATAACAATTTGTGTGTGGGTGTAACACCTTTTAGTGTGGCTATAAGCCTACAATATAACCCATCTTGTACTACATGTATAGCTAGGCAAAATTAATGGAAATCATATAGTTGTAATTGTAATGTAGAATATGCAAAAGAACTATATGTTGATATCAAAAAGGAAAAAGAACTATATGTTACATAATCACAAGTCATGATCATGATTCATGTATCAATTTTCGTTTTTTTTTTTTTTTTATCACTGGCGTGTCTACTATATATTAATTAATTTAAATTCAATTCATTTCCCTATTTACAAAGAAAATAGTAAAAATATTTTGAGATTCATATAATACAATTTAAACTGTTTATTAAAAATATAGTCTATTTTATAAATTTATTAAAATACCATTAATGAAATAATATAAAAAAATAATTTTATTAAAAATATTTCAATAAATTTATAAAATATATTATATTTTTAATATATAATATATCTTATAAAACACTTTTTCATAATATTTTCGTAGCGCAATAGATTCAACTAGTAGAGCACTACTTGTTTATGTGTTCATAAAAATTAAAAAGAAAAAGGAATTAACTTTGTTTGGTTCAAAAACACTTTTTGGCGCATATGTGCGACTGAAACACTTGTTGGTTTCTTCTTCTTTAATTTTTTATGGTTAAACCCACTTTTTGGTCCCTCAACTAACATATGGACCCTTGATTGAGTCCTTCAACTCAAAAAATCCATGATTTGATCCTTATTGGTTTACCATTTTAACCTCAACTTAGTTCTTTCGTTAAAAATCTCATGACGTGTACTGTTATTTCACGGTAACATGATGACATGTCAAAATATTAGTATACATGTAAGACAACATGGCAAAAAAAAAGTGATATGGAAAAAAAAAATAATATGACAAAAAAACTTAAAAATTCTTTCTTTTTCTTTTTTCCTTCTCTTTCCCTTTCTCTTTCCCCTTAGGGTCATGGGTTCGACGAACCCAGCATCAGGTTCCAAGGGACCTAGAGCCTAGATTCGATGGAACCCAGGTCTAGGTTCTTCGGCAAAAAATAAAAAAAAAATCTATATTTTTGTGGGTTTTGTTGTTTAATGAAAATGAATAATTGATTGATAAAGATGAAGAATTAATTGATGAAGAAGGAAAAGAAGAGGATGGAGAAAAAGAATATTTTAATTTTTATTATCAAATCATTATTTTTGCCACGCTATTTTTCCATGTGGACATAATATTTTGATGCATCATTAAGCTTTTGTTAATTAACGGGACATGTGGGTAGATTTTTAATGGAAGAACTAAGTTAAGGTCAAAATGATAACAGATCAAATTAAAGATTTTTTGAGTTGAGGGACTCAATACGTACAATAGTTGAGGGACAAAAGGGGGTTTAACCTTTTCTTTTTATTTTCTGTTTAGAAAGCAACCAGTCATATTGGCAACTTTTAACGTGGAATCTTGCCTTTAAATGCATGTGGAAAGAGCAGTAGATCGACCATGTAGAACTCTCCTCATATGTACTGGAACACAGTTTTAAGAAGGCAGTTCCCCTGCACTGTGGAAATAGTTCTAAGAGTAATTAGAGGAATTAAAGCTAGCGTTTCAGCTTTTACCTTTCCATTTCTCCCAAGCTGAATTATCCCTCTCATCAACTAGTACAGCATATGGTACTCTACACCATGCATTGCTTTTATAGTGTTATTAGTTTAGAGAATATTAATAGAGAATACTCTACTGTAGTTTGTTTTATAAAAATTATATTATTTTTAATTATTAATAGAGAGATAAGTATTTTATATTAAATGCTTATTTCTTTCATCAATGGTTCAATAAAGTACAATCTATGCAATATTAATATCTAGGTAAAATAGGAGAATTGGATTAAACCTTTCATCTGATTGATTTTGAAATTAATCAACTGTTACTAGGTCAGACGGAAATGGGATTTGCTTGTGATTGAATTGAACCGAGAACCTACAAGAATCTCAGGTCTTCAAGTTTTAAGACTTAAGTTTGAGTCATGAACCAATATTAGCTCACATAGGCAAGTTCAAGAATTAGCTCAACTGCCTCGATTTTTACGAGTATATAGTTCAAAGAAAGAAATGTATATACCATGATAATAAGTAAAAAAAAATAATTATAAAAAAAAAAAAAAAAAAAACCCTCTAATAATGAAGTCAAGAGGGTTTGATGAGATCTTGGCCTGGTTGTCAATATTTTTGTCTCCCCTGTTTCTCGCTTTTTGCTTGTCTCTATTACCCACAGCCCCAGGGATGCACATGCTAGTGATTAAAAAAAAAAAAAAAAATGGGGCAATTCTTTACAGTTGGGGGAGGGAGAAGGGGATTACAAAGCTTGGGTTTGAACTCAAAATTAGGTGCCGTACCACTTGAATTCTTTACCACCAAGCCAAAATTAATGCGGTTGGTGTACAGGCTAGTGAATTAATGAAGAAGAGAATGTTTGAGAAATATTAAAGGTAACTGTTCATAGTCTCTGGTGCAAAGATATTGTGAACAGTTGCAGTGAGGTTCTCTAGGGGAGGAACAGATGGCTAGATACAGATTCAATTTTTAAATTTGAAGGCCAGCTTTTTGCAGGGTAAATGTTGGGTACGTAACTTCAACTTTGTAAGGGATAACTCTGTCTTGGAGTTTCTTTTCTTTTCCTTCTTTTAC